GAGAGAGAGAGAGAGAGAGAGAGAGAGAGAGAGAGAGAGAGAGAGAGAGAGAGAGAGAGAGAGAGCCCTTTGATGTTTCTTAGAAAACCCCTGCCGGTACTCCAAAAGGCTCCTGCCAAAAATTAGCAAGGGTTTCCCCGACAAGAAAAGGGAAGTCGTTGGCCTTATAGTAGGGCAGTAGCAGGCCAGCTATATATGGTGTAGCTTCAAATTCATGTCCGTGTTTCAGCAGTTATGGGTTACTGACTTACTAACTCGGCATGTGATTTTCAGAGCTTCACTCCACTACTCACCAAATGTGCAAAACTACCGTAGAATGAGTCTTCTCCTAGTAACTGGAATCATACGCCGCCATATGTTTTGTCTTTTGTGCACGTGGTGACTACAGATAAGTCATCAGGCAAGTCCCCTGGCCTCCGGCAGCTTCAACTCCCCGGGTCCCTGCTGCAGCATACTGCAGCCCAATCTCGACTACTCCTAGTCGAGCTACAGCGCCCAGCGTTGGAAGACTACGCTCTACTCCAACGCCACAGCGCCCAGCGCTGGAAGACTACGCTCTACTCCTAGTCGAGCGACAGCACCCAGCGCTGGAAGACTACGCTCTACTCCAACGCTACAGCGCCCAGCACCGGAAGACTACGCTCTACTCCTAGTCGAGCTACAGCACCCAGCGGTGGAAGACTACGCTCTACTCCAACGCTACAGCGCCCAGCACTGGAAGACTACGCTCTACTCCTAGTCGAGCTACAGCGCCCAGCGCTGGAAGACTACGCTCTACTCCAATGCTACAGCGCCCAGCGTGTCGACTACTAACGACCTTGAAGGCACCACCTCAGTACTACCTCAGGATACTACCTGCTGGACTGGAGGACGGCCAGCTATATATAGTGCTGGTCTGTCCGAAGTCCAGCCTCGAACTACTGCTGTGTGGCTGCGCCAGGGTACTGCACTGGCTCCAAAACGAAAATGAAACGAAACTGGGTCCCGACAGGCGAGTGGCGCCTTAACTAGGACACGGCGCCAAAGCGAAAATGAATCCTGGCCAGTCCTCGTATGGTCCCAAAATGGACCCCTGACAGCGTAGGTCCTAATCCAGACCTTGGACAGAAACGGTACTGCTCCTAAACGGACCCTACTAACCCTGCTAAACCCCTATTAGGGTTAGTAACCCTACCGGCGGGCCCGATGGGGCCCGTGTGGGACCTGTGTGGGACCCATGGAATGCCACATGCACACACCTTACAGGCCGGACACTGCATATTGCCAGTTCCTCACTGCCAAGGACCAACACAAGCTTCATACAAGGATTTGTTTTTCCCCTTCTCTTTTCTTTGAAAGTTTGGACCATTTCTCGATTTATGCGTGTCATTCTTACTTGCGCAGGGGTCATGCTAATTAATCTTCATTCTCTGTATCGTTCCAATTTTAACGGATGTTCCGAAGGACACTTTATACAAGATTTATTACTCCAAAAGAAAGAAATTGCCACAGCAATCAACACCCCCATATGTACATAAGGCAAGCCACTAATTCACCCTTCCTCTCTCTTTTTCCTCTCCCTCCCCTTTTTCTTTTCTCAATTTCTCCATGATCATTCTCTCCCCCTCTTCTTGCTTGCCTCATCATCTGCCCTTTACCCCTCCTCTCACAGGCTTTCCGCATTCCAGCAAACCATGAGCCGAGCTCAGCCAACCACAGACAAAACAAAAAAACAGAGTCATAAGAAGACGCGAAGCATTGGCAACAGCAGAGACGTCAGACACAACAAGTTTGGACCACAGATTTAGATCCTTCGTAAATCTATGAGACGTCAGATAGACAACAAATAGAACAAAAGGGCAAACTCACACTACCACTTTTCTAAATGTATCTGACCACAATTATGCCCCGGATTCGGATGAATCTGACCTCAATCTCATCTCAAGCATCGCAGAAAAAGTCCTAGTGTGAGTGTGCCCTAAGATGCCAAAGAGATTGCAGATACACAAATGGATAGACATGGAAGAAAAGTAGACAGGGACTTCACTTCCCAAATTCATTCCCTTTGAAAATACACCGTCCCCCGCCTCCCCCCCCGCCCCCCTTCTTCCATCTTCCCTCCTACCCTCCCCTAGGGACTATATCATAGACAGCAAAGTAGCCTCTCTATCTGTTCACCCTTAGCAGTGGTAAAATGTCTACGTGCGAGTAGCGCCAGCGTCACCACGCAAGCTTGCCTATCCCCTGTCCAACAGTGGTCACGTAAGCTTGCCTAGCCATCCATCGACCCCAGCACCACTCTGGTGCCTTCTCAGCTCTCAAATCTCTCACCAAGCGGTGCTGCCTAAATGGATCTTACAGATCAGGTCAGCGAAAAAGGGAGAGTATAATCTCGACTATTGATAACACAAGGGGGGAAGGGATGCATATCATTTCCACTACTACCCCAAAGGGGATACAAACAGGCCACCCACTAGCTAAGGAGGAGACGTGGACAGTGTAAGAGGGAGGGGGAAGGGAAAGGGGTCACAGGGGAGAGGGAAGATGGCTACCATCTCCAGTGTCCCATGCCACGAGAGAGAAGTTCCCACCGATTTGGGGGCTAGAGAAACCCATATAGCAGGAGGAGGGGGCAGAGGGCCAAGGAGGAATTGAGTGATAGCAACAGCAGGGGAGTAGGGAGAAGTGAAAACGACTACCGTCTTCCCCCGAACATAACGCACTCAGAAAATGAACGTATACAAGCCGTCTTTCCGGTCCGATGCAGTCCAAATGAGGGTGCGTTGTGTTCAGGGGAAGACGGTAGTGGCATAGAAGGGGCAGACGTGGAGAGGCAGTGTTTGAGGGAAAGTGGGAGACAAAAGAGATTGTGAAATTCAGACAGATGGAGAAGGGAAGAAGTAAAGTGAGGGAGTCAGGCGAAGAAGAAGGACGAGGAGGAGGAGGAGGAGGAGGAGGAGGAGGAGGAGGAGGAGGAGGAAAAGGAGAAGAAGGAGAAGAAGCAGGAGAAGAAGGAGAAGAACGAGAGGAAGGAGAGGAAGGAATGATGAGTGAGAAAAGCAGAATTACCTACGATTCAAGAAGATGACTGCATAACCATTAGCAAGAAACTGCCTGCAGCAGGGCCAGAAACAACGAGATAACTTTTCAGCTTTGGAGAATTCCTAGTTCTTGAAATGCAATGGAAAGGCTAGAAATTGTTACGTAAGAGCTCTACATGAGGACAAAATAGAGGGAGGGAATCGGTACAGATGAACGTCTTTCGTTGCATTTGGTATCACTCTTAGCATCAATTCATTCAAAAATCCGGTTCAGGTTTTTGGTTGCTGGATGTCATTCTGATCAGGAGTCGTTTTTTTATTGTTTTGCATCAGGTTTGGTTTCATTTTGCAGTCAGGTTGGGCTTATTAGGTTGCTCTCTAGTCGGAGCTTGGGATCAGATTCGGCTATATTTGGATTCCCGCGTGTGGATTGGCTTGGCCTACGGATTTCAGTAACTTTTCAGTTTGCCTTTTTTGTTTGAATTTTGAGTTTGGATTTCGTTGGTCTTGGTTTAGGGTTTTGGTGTGCTTTTTCTTGTGGTTTTGGTTTGGTTTCAGTTTGGTTTTGGCTTGGTTTAGGCTTCGCTTTGGTTTTGGTTTTGGTTTTGGTTTTGGTTTTGGTTTGGTTTTGGTTTTGGTTTTGGTTTCTAGTTTTGGTTTGGTTTTGCTCTGCTTTCAGTTTGTCTGGTTTTGGTTGGGTGTTGGTTGGGTTTTGATTTGAATTTGGCTTTTGTTTGGTCCTCATTTCCTTTTGGTTTATCTGTGGTTCAGTTTTGGGTTTTGGGTTTTGGGTTTGGGTTGGGGTTTGGGTTGGGGTTGGGGTTGGGGTTGGGGTTGCAGAATCTGACAGTTCAGTTGTATTTGGGCTTGGATTCAGGCATGGGTTTCGATCAGGGTCGGCTTTGGGTTTGAGCCTTGGTATGGGTTGGGTTTGGGTTTCCGGCGGATGTTACTTTAATGTGATTGGTTCAGACAGAACATGGGTTGATTTTGGGTCCAGGTTAGGTTTCAGATTTGTATTCGTTGGGATCAGATGCTGCAGTTGTTCGGATCAGGTTTTGCATGTGTCGGGTTCGGGGTTTCAGTTGCTTTTGCTGACGTGGGATATGGTTTGCTATGGTCTTGTGTTTGGTTTTAGTGTTTTGGCTGCGGTTTGGTTTAGCTTCGGGTTCGGGGTTCGGTCTACGAACTTGAATCTCTACTGTTCGTTCGACTTGGGTTCAGTTACATGATCCTCATGCTCCGGTGTTAAACAGGACACTAGAGGACATGAAATGTTTGAAGGAGGACATGACATGTTTGAAGGACATTCATTGAAGATAACGGAGAGAGCAAGGAAAGCATTGACAGAGTCAAAGGGAAGGGAGAGGACTGCAGGGAAGACAATGATAGTGCCAACCATGACAAAGGCTGTGGAAATCATTATGATAATGAAAATAAGAGGGAGAGGATGGCAAGAAGAAGAAGGAGAAGCAAGAGAGGACGCAAAGTTGGTGGCGGACAAGAAATGGGAGGCAGAGGTGGAAGAGAATCAGGGTGAGGAGAAGAGGAGGAGCTGAGGAGGGAAATGAGCAGGAGGAGGAGGAGGAATGGGACGAGGATAAGAACGGGGAGGGGGAGGAGGACGACAAGGAGACGAAAAGGTGGAGGACGGGGAGGAGGAGGAGCAGGAGGAGGAGGAGGAGGAGGAAGGGGAGGATGGAATGCGCGTTCTGCACCACTGACTGAGAGAAGATTTCCAACACGAGAGGCAACAGTTGTTCGTAATGGGTGATGACGACTTCGAAAAAATGACACAGGCATCGGGCAAGTAATGGTCATGTCTGGTTTCTTGCGATAGGATTGTCGTACTCAGCAGAGGTAGCACCTCGACTTCCAGAGCTGAAGTTGTCTATGAAACGCACACAACGTTTCTCCAAAGGGACAGTAGTTCCACCTGATGTTATGCATACAATTGGCCGCGTTGCACATGCCCCATTATTGTCACCTGGACCACATCAGCAAGAACACATTACATGATCAGGAATTGAAGGCAACGGGTGAACGAACGCTTCGGGTTCTGAGTGTTCAAGAAAGTGCCCATTATTACAGAAACAACAGCACCTTCATACCACTGAAAGGGTCTGGGTCTCCAAAAAGCATCAATCAGGATTGAGGCCCTCTTTTGAGATTTTTTCCCTTTGTTTTTTGTGCTACAATCCTGCCCATTTCATAATGGGAAACTTGTTGAGTCTGCGGTGGAGCTGCGCTGTCCCTTCCAGCTCCATCTCCATCTCCCTCATCCTCATCCCTTCGTCATGATCTTGACGGACCGCCATCCCCGCGGGTCCGTCACACACGGGAATGGTGGCCATGTCAATGTGGCTCCAAAAAAAGTGATGCCTGGTCAGTTGAATCTGAGACAACAATGGTGGCGAGAGGAGGCTTAAACCACACTAGTACTTCCTAAAGTCGTGCCCGTTAGTTAACAAGCCACACAATGAAAGGAAACGTACGGGCCACTACAGGAGCGCCCAAATTCATCTGACTAGAAATGTTACTACTCTATTTTTTCCCATGGCCGGTAGCTGCGCCAAAACTCGGCGCGCAGGTGCAGGGCCCCCGGCCCTTAGCTGGGCAAGGTACTGGCGGTTTAACCATGCCCCACAAAACACCGCCCGCCCACAAGTGGCATGTTGGTTGACAAGCTGGCGGGGAAGTTGGGAATCGAGAGAGAGCCGATGGAGACAGCGAAGGTCCGCGGCTTAGAGAGGACTTATTCTAAAGATTGTGAGAAAACGAAAGCCCGGCAGGTTGGTGGCTTAGAGAGGAAGGGTTTTTTTTTTTTTTTTTTAAGATGGCAAAACACTAAAGGCCCGGCAGGTTGGTGACGTAGCGAGGAAGAAGATCTTTCGGAGACTGGAGAAAACGAACGGCTCTACGAGGTGCTGTGATCGCGGTCCAATACAGAACCCTAGAGTCCTACCGTGTGAGTATGAGGTGAGTGAGGCGGTTTTTTGCCCCAAATGGAATCCGCCCTGCCTGACTGGAAAGGCACCAGAAGGACACCAAAGAAGCAAAGGAAAAAAAACACATTCCGCACATACTGGCCAGATACATTCTAGGTGAAACTGCTCCCGGATCACGTTTTCAGTTTGAGATGGGAAACGCATTTACTCTCATCGTCTGTGAGAAGATACTCCCGTGCTACTTCGGTGTACTTTCCGTGATACGTCTGTGTTGTGTGCCTATCCAGTCCCCCCCAGTCACGTAAACACTCATGTAGCCAACTCTCCTCCCTTCAAAGATCTCATCTCACCCACCAAGGGACCGCAGGACACTGACAAGATGAAGCACGGAATCACAGCACCGGAAGACCTTATAACGTTTCAACCACCACAGATGTCTGCCAAGTCGAACGATGTTTCTTAACAAAGATGCCAGGCAGGAAGTATAACAAACACCGTACGTTCGCACGCTTCCCCACGTATAGTATAACGGAGGGGCTCCAGGACGCCAGGATCGCTTGGGAACAAAGGGGGCAGGTAAGCACCCCCGTCACTCTCCTGCTTGCTCACCTTCCTCCTCCTCCTCCTCCTCCTCCTACGCCCCGGAGCCTTCCTCCCCGGTCCACTCCACCATAGCCGAGCGGAGGGACAAGGCAGGAAGTATAATAAACACCGTACGTTCGCATGCTTCCCCACATATAGTATAATATAAAATGCGGGTAACTGTAGAGACGCTTTGATCCGGAAGTAACTCCAATTCGCCAGAACAGGCTCAACTCTGTAAACGTCGCTGCGCACTGTATTCTTGGGCAATCTCATTTTATTTATCAAGATTGCGACGCAAAAACCTCGACCACTCTTTTGGAACATGCTTTGTTTTAAATTTCAACAACGATGGATCTCTGAGATGAAATTATCGAATCCAAAATTTTCAGAACAGATTGAGACCTGTGACTGTATACAGGCAGGTATAAACTCAGCTTTTTCTAGCCGTTCATCCACCCTCAAAAACAAAAACAAAAACAAAAACAAAAACAAAAACAAAAACAAAAACAAAAACAAAAACAAAAACAAAAGAAAAGAAATCTCAAACTGAGAACCTCTGCCTCAGAAAATAACAACCCTTCTGAGCCTCCTACCATGCCTTCAACACCCCTAATTGGCTGCTCCAGTTGAAGACGCGCCCGCTTCTTCCAACAGGAACAGCCAGCGCCCTACTGAAAGAAACGAAGAGAGAAGGTGGAAGGCAAGTGGAAGAGTAGTACTCTCTCTGCCTTCCTACCTAGTAGTAGCTTCAGGGTGTCCCAGGTACTGACCTTTGTTTGTGCTGTGACTTGTGCCGTACTCGCCTTTTTCAGCTGGTGTGCCTAAGAATCCTTCAGCAACCCTCTCTCAGCGATATGGTGGCAGCTATCGCTAGGCATTTCTACAGCCACTCACCTCAAAGGCCTGTGAGCTATTCTCTCCTTCATCTCTGAGATAGACTGCACTCCGGCCTGCGTATGCAGCTCAAGCGAACTCAGGTAAGCAGTGTGGCGATCCTACGGTGCCGTTGAGGCCACTTGCCGGCCTGGCGCCTTGGCCTACGGTCCTCTTCGGCATGACCGTGACGCACAAGTCAAATCGACAGACTGCAGACAGTGTTGGGGGAGGTTCTGCCCGTCCTATGGTGGGGGAATTATCCATCAAAGCAGCCCCAATGTTCCGTAATTAGTAGTGGATGGACCCAAGGGGAGCCTGTGGCTATATCTGGTGTTAGTCCACGCACACTTGGCTGTTGATTGCCTATGAGCAGCGAGAGGCAACGACATCACTGAGTGTGATAGTGTCATCAAAGGGTCTCGCCGCACGGCACACGAAATGAAAACGAAACGATTGCATATGCCGACGAAAGGTGGCAAAATACACTCGTTACTATTTATAGAAAAACGATGAACGAGGCCATTTTCTGCAGGAAGATGCACTCGTTTCGTTTTTCGTTTCGTGTCCCATGCGGCGACGCCCTATATCCGGCAACTCTGGTGATCTGTATGTGAAACGGAGATGTTATCAGTCTGACAAACACTGACGGTGGTGTTGAGAATATGAAGAAGAAGTTTGGTAAGTTGGATGCGGCAAAGTGGTGAGCAGGTGGCAATTTAAAAAATTACAAAAATGTGTAATGAGTCCTAATGACCTGTTAAAAAAATCACAGACTGAGAACTCGGCTGTTTTCTGAGTTTTGCCGCTGGAATGTGTGACTTGCTGAGATTCCTGGTTTTTCTTTTTTTTTTCTTGTGGTGGAGAAAGAAGAAAGGGATAATTTGCAAAATGCCCCCATAAGTTGAGATATATGCCAAAATGCCCTTGAAAGATGTGGGTAGAGCGGAATGCCCTTTGTGTTGTGCCCCTGTCAGGCGGGTGTGCAACTTTGCAATCTAGACCTCCCCATTTGGGCCTTGGCCTTTTGCAAAAGCGCCTAGGAAAAGTTGTAAAGTACTGGGGCATTTCGCAGTGTTGGATGGTACCCGGTAGGGGTATATTGCAAAGATGGGGTCCAACCGACGCCAGGGGCATTTCACAAACTTTTTTTTTTTGTCAGAGGGGCATTCCGCTCTACCCACATCTTTTAGGGGCATCTTCGCATATATCTCAACTTATGGGGGTATATTTCAAATTATCCCAAGAAAAGAAGGAGCCTGTGCGATCAATTCTGCACTCTGGACATTTGGCTCCCACTTTCTGCTGAGATTTCAAAGTCTGTATGTGTGTGTGTGCTTGCTGAGTTTCCATGTGTTTGTCTGAGTGCATGATTGCTTGAGTGTGTGTGTGTGAGCTGTGAGGGTATTGTATGCTCAGAAGGCCTTCGGGCCTGGTACTTACCTGTGGCCATGCCTTTGTGGATTGCAGCAGGGTGGAGAGGTAGGCTAGGCCCGCGTAGATGGAAAACACTCTAGTAGCAAAAAGGCTAGGCCCTAGTAGGTTGGAAAACACTTGAGTCGCGGGAAGGTAGGCAGAAGAAGACAAAAAGTTAGTGCCTTTAGCGGCCGAGTGAAATTTAGAAGTCTGGTAGGCTTAGGTCTAGGGGTACCGATCTAGTAGTCTGAGTCTGTAGGGCCTGTAGCGAAGGATGAATGATATCGGACCTGCAATGATGTTTCCCTCCAAAAGGAGGAAGGTACCGGTAGCTTGGGAGGCAAGAGGCCTGTAAAGTCACCGCCCATAGAGGCAGCTGCCCGGTATAGGTTTGGGAGGACCGAAGTGAATCTCAATTTGCGGTCTTCACCGTCCGGTATATGTTCACGAGGAGCAAAGTGCTCCTCATTTTGTGGTCTGCAAGTTTAGCATCATGCTGCTGGAGCGAGCGCTTGATGTGTCCAGAGCTGGGAAGGAAGAAGCCGGCCTGGCCCCTCCACTCGGCTATGGTGGAGTGGACCAGGGAGGAAAGCTCCGGGGTGTAGGAGAAGGAGGAGGAAGGTGAGCAAGCAGGAGAGTGACGGCGGTGCTTACCCGGTTATGGTGGACAGCATCTTCATCTTCTTGGTTGGCGCTGCACCTGGAAGGCCCCATAGGGAGTACAGTTCATCAAGGAAGACTTCGGGGCCGATATAGGTTTGGCGGCCATAGCCGAGAGGGCAATCAGCTTTGCGTTGTCCTTTGGACATCAGAGCAGGGCTCCGCTAGTCCATAGCCACCTACTAGTAGATGGTGGAAGAAGGTGGAGGACATGGCTATGGTGGACCTCATGAGTTGCTGCCAGTAAGGAGGAGATTCGCACATTGGTTCTGGTTCATTCTTTTTTCATTGTTATCATTATTATTATTTATTGTACGGAAGAAGTGGGGGGAGATAAGGAAAGGTTGAAGGTGATGGCGAGTTGGAGGGGGGATTTGACATTGGTCTTTGCTGGTGTACATTGTCTTCTTCTTCTTCTTCCATTCTTATTTCTTCTTCTTGCATTCTTATTTCTTCTTCTTCCATTCTTATTTCTTCTTCTTCCTTTGTCGATTTCTCTTTCCAA